ATGTTTTTTGACATGCTGATACAGGGGAAAGTCAACGCAGTGCATTTAATTCTGCCCTTGCGTACGAAGCCAGTGGGTGGAAAAAGTGAGTCCCATTGGGCCAAACAATTACTTAAATGATGTCATATCACATCCAATACAAGTGAGTCAGATAATAGGCCAAACTCAGATCTCACTGAAGGCAGTGGGAGCAAGGGGAAAGTAGTGAGACTCATATTAGTATTGCATTCAGTGGGTGTAACTAGGGAGGCGGGAGAAGAGAATTGACTCCCACTGTGTCTTTCACCTTAATTTATACCTTCCTGGTACTTTCTTTTTTATGTGCTTCAGGAGGTCATTTTATAGAATATCTAAAAAAAATTCTTAGTTCTCCTGTAATTCAATTACTCTCTTCTACCAATGAAAATAAGCAGTGTAATTCAATTACACAGTGGCTGCAGTTGCTGGGCTCTCTTCTACCAATGAAAATAAGCAGTTTTTACAAAATTTAATGATTTTGCTTGGCTTAAAAATGTGCAAGGGATGAAAATTAATTTGATATTTTGAAGAAAAGTCAAGCAATTATACACGCAACACGAAGCCAAAGTGTAGGAATTATGTTCTCATTTTGTTTTAGCTTAGGCCAGGTTCCCTATAAGGTTCAGCACACAGTCTCACACTTGCAGGAGGCAACGCGTTGGAGGGCACAGCAGGCCAAGTGCTGGAGAAAAGTGGACCTTCCTTCAGTGACAGTGCTGGTTTTAGCCAGTTTAACCTACTCAAGAAATTCCCTGCATAAATTCCTTCTAATAACTTCTGAATAGTAGAAATAGAAGCAGTAATAAGAACTCTCTAGGTCCTCTTAGTCTTCCTCATATACTTGAAAGTATAAAAAATGAAGTTTCTTTCTGTTTTTTCTATAGTTCCAGTGCACACTGGAGTCCTCAGAGTCCTCTTGAATATTTTAGAGAGTTCAATAACAATGGGTAACACACCACACCATTTTAATTAAGCTTGATGTGCACTGACCTTGAAATTGGATCAGAATGTCTATTTACTGACCACGTTGTACCTAAATTCAACAATTGATTTTCACTAGTTAGACTAGTGAAAATTCGGCACTCACCGAGACGAACAGCTCCGGTGCAGGCACGTCCTCAGCAGAGCCGGCTGATCTCAGCGAAAAAGGGGCTTTTTCTGAGCTTTTTTGAGGCAGGGAAGCGCCAGGGCGACACAGGGACCCGCAGGGCGCCAGCAGCTCGAGTGAGAGCAGCGGACGTGAAGGGGCAGTACCAACAGCAGTGGAGGCAGCCCTGGGGAGCGCAGCGAGCAGGAGCACTGCGGGCAAACAGGGCATGGCATGGCAGTTCGCGCAGGAAGGGCACTGAGAGTGCTGCCAGTTCCAGTTCCAGAGGTGGGCTCACCTGGTAAGAGAAGCTCAGGCATGGTCTCCACCCACCGGAAAGTCACGTCCTCAGCACCTGCCAGAGTAGATGCAGCAACACAGACAGCGCTCCCTTGGAAACACACCGGCACCCAGGCCTCAGGCTGCAGGGAGTGCTGCAGCCTTGCACAGCTAGCAAGCGGCAGCGGTAGTAACAGCTGTGTGAGGTGTGAGCAAGTGGACAATCCGCTGAGCCTGGTGGCAGAGCTCAGGGATGAAGCTGAGCGACTAAGGAGTATCAGGGGACTGAGAAAGAAATAGACTGGTGGGCCCAGGCCTTAAGCTCCTTGAAAGAGAGCCCGGGCCAGACACCGGAAATAAAAAAAGACCACAGGGATATCATCTCCTTGCCCTGTAGGGCTGAAGGGATGGAAGGCAGTGGCCTCCTGGAAAATGGTGAATGGAGGCAAGTCTGTGGTGGGCGCAGAAAGCGAGCCCCCTCCTTGCCTGCCTCCCCTCCCCTCGTACCACTACACAACAGGTATGAGGCCCTGGGCATGGTAGAGCAGCCTAAGGACAACAAGGCTGACAGTTGTAATACAACACAGGACCCTCCAGGACCGGAGAGGCCTACCCACCACATTAAGACCACTGCTACCAGGAAGAAAAGGAGGGCTATAATCGTGGGCGACTCAGCTCTGAGGGGGACTGAGGGTCTGATGCGTAGGGTAGACCCCACTCTCAGGGAAGTTTGCTGCCTCCCTGGAGCACGGGTCAGGGACATCACCAAGAGACTCCCTAGCCTGGTGCAGCCCATGGACTACTAACCGCTGCTCCTGTTCCATGTGGGGGGCGATGAATGTGGAGATCGGAGTGAGAGGATGATTAAAAGAGATATCAGGGCCTTGGGTCAGTCACTACGGGGATCTGGAGCACAAGTTATTTTTTCATCCATACTCCGCGTTGCGGGCGATGACATTGAAAGGAACAGATGAGCTCAGTCTGTTAATACATGGCTCTGTGGCTGGTGTCACCGCCACAATTTGGGGTTTTTCAACAATGGAATGGCCTATGCGGCACCAGGCCTGCTGGCAGCAGATAGGGGCTGGCTCACTCAAAGAGAAGGGTTTTCGCCCCAAAATTAGCAGGCCTCATTAACAGGGCTTTAAACTAGATTTGATGGCGGAAAGGGGTATTATCGGGTTTGCCCATGACTAGCCAAGGGATGTTGTGCCAAGGAAAGAGGAATGGGGTGCTGGTGAGAGCCAGCAGCCATTAGCTCCAAAATGTGCTGACTATGCTGCAGCATGCTCAAAGTCTTACATAGATGAGCCAGGAGCTCCTGGACAAACAGGAGCCAGTGGGGAGGCACCGTTAATTCCCAGCAAAGGAATGCTGCCTGGAGAGCGGCACGAAGTAATTATAGCTGCTCCAGCCAAGTCAACCTCAACGAAGGCACGGCTGAAGGGCCTCTATGCAAATGTACGGAGCATGGGGAACAAACAGGAGGAGCTAGAGATGTGCACATACCTCCAAGGCTATGATCTCATTAGTAGTGTGGAAGCTTGGTGGGATGATTCCTATGACTGGAGTGTTGCCATGGAAGGCTACAGGCTCTTCAGGAGAGACAGGCAAGGGAAACGAGGAGGAGGTGTTGCCTTATACGTTAACGAGCAACTGGAATGCATGGAGCTTAGCCTAGGGATAGATAATGAGCCAATTGAGAGCCTATGGGTCAGGCTTAAAGGGAAATCGGGAGCAGGGGACATTACAGTGGGAGTCTGCTACAGGCCACCCAACCAAGAAGGCTGAGTGGATGAAGCTCTCTATAGACAGATAGGGGCGGCATCATGTTCACAGACCCTGGTCCTTATGGGTGACTTTAACCACCCTGATATCTGTTTGAAGGGTTACACATCCAGGCATAGGCAATCCAGGAGGTTCTTGGATTGCATTGAGGACAACTTCCTTCTCCAAGTGGTTGAGGAGCCAACGAGGAAAGGAGCTATGCTGGACCTTGTCCTTACCAACAAGGAGGGACTGATAAACGGTGTCAAACTCAAGGGC